TCGACCAACGCGCCAGTTTGCGGGTGAGGCGGGTGAAGCCGTGAAAAGACATACCGCCAGCATCTCCTGCTTGATGTTGACCCATGAAGAACCCATATACCAAGTTCGGTGCGGGCTTTTTGCGTCAACAAATCAGCGTCAAACCTCTTGGATCCCGTTGAAGTCCTGGAGTAGCTGACCCCTGTTGAATAGCCATTCAGGAGTACATGTTACACGTCTACAGCGCCCCCTATGTTGTTGTTCCCCTCGTTACTCTTCCTGGGTGCTCCACTTAATGCTTAAATTGCCAAAAGGAAGGACATCAGGTAGAGGGTCGTTGTTTGGGGGTGTACACAAAATACCAATCTTCGTGATAACCGCCATGTACAACCAGAGGCAAATACCCACGATTGTGATTGGCAACAGGGGGAGCCAGCATGTACAACCAAACGGCAAAAGACTCACCAAGAAGAAACACCTGCGCTCGGGTAAAAGTACCTAATTACCTCCAAAAGCCTTGGGACATATGTCTTTTTGGGGATTTGAAAGATTTATGCAAAGCATGGCCGCTGGAGAGCGGTTTTAGGCACATACCTGCCCGAAAGGGTTTCCCCACCCTCTCCTGCGGCGCCGAACGCGGCGAAGTCTCTGCTGGGGAGCTGCAAACAGAGCTGCTCGAGGGGCAAAGCCTCCAGCAGGCACCTGACATCGACCCCTTTGGCCGAGCATCAAAACAAGACCAAGCATGTATCAAGGAGCAAGGGGATTCCCCACGAAAGACATGCGTATCAAACTATGGGACGCTGGACCCTAAATTGAGATTTGGGGCGGTTGTTTGCATGAAAAAGCAAAGCGCCAAAGAGGTCCATCTGCTTGTGAGAGTCGAGCGGACAAGGACCCTTGGCGGAAATCATGACAGCATGGTAGCAAAACCTATCTTGAGCATGTCAGTCAACTGTCCCGTCCGAAAGAAAGGGTCAGGAGTCCTACTTTGGGACCTCGGCGCCTTTTCGTTTCATTTCGGAGGTCAGCGAAGTTTCCAGGAGAAAACTTATCCGGTGGAAACCTGGAAATCAATGCAGATGTTTTTTTGTAAACAACTTGGAACAAAATCTGGAGGGTCGGCTTCCCATTGGGTGCCAAGCGAATGGGTCTACAAGAATTGAAATTAGCCCCCATCCCCAAGTCCCCGTTTGGGAAATTAAACATTACCCGGCTGTTCAACCAGGAAGAAACCGACGTCGGACCCAGTTCAAACAAGACGGTGCATCAGCCTGTATTGTGTATTGTCACTTCCAGTCCGACAAACACACAAATCCCATGGTGATCGAGACTCTGCCGGCATCGTCAAACACCCCTTCTGGACAGAGCCAGCATCCGAGCTATTCTTCTGGGCCGTATGGGTCCGATCCGTCAAATAAGTTCATAATGTGTTTGCTGGTAGTGGACCCTCGTGGAAAACCAACGCGGCAAAAAGGTAGGCCAAGTCTGGCAATGTCTTCCCTAGTTTTCTGACTCCTCAGACAGATCCTCCAAAATTCGCACCTTGAAAGGATGGAGTAGGAGGTTTGGCTCGATCCCGATTGGATGGAGTGCCCTCAGCATCCGGAATCCACTCCCATCCCCTCCCCTTCTGCACCCTTACCTATGGATCCCCAAGCTTGTGATCCCAAATCGTTTCCCAATTTTCCGAACACCTGACTCAAAATGTGTGGTTTCCCGACTCCAAACAAGCTATCTCCCCCGCCTTCAGGGTGAAGGTCAGCTCGACAACCAAGAAAAAAGGGGAAAAGAGTTGCTTTGCCTCTTCCCTGTTAAAACCCAAAAGACACAACTAAGCCTGTCTGATTTCCCCTCTTCCCTCAAGAGCCAACTCATTCTTGCCCCTCACGTTTTCCCATCAGAACGCCGAAGCCCGAAGCGTCAACAGCCCCAGACCCCCCATCCGGCCGCTGGAAGAGGTGCTGCAGCAAATCCAAGCGCTCCTCCAGCACCTGGACCTCCTGCTCCAAGTCCTCAACCGAATTGACGCGGATGGGGAGAGACGTGGAGTCAAAGACCGCTGAAAAAGTTCTCGCCTTCCCCATTCTTTCCAGGCATCCGTCTTTCCAAAAAACCGCCCAAAACCCTGGGGAAACAGCTGGGTTTTGAAAAGAACCATGGTTGACCAGAATGGACAAGGAATCAACCCCTAGAAAAGTGGGGCTTCTGGTGCTTGCCTTCTTGAGCCCAAGCAAAAAGCACGGGATTCGTGAGATTTGTCCCAAATGGTACCAACAAGGGGTCTACTCAAAGCTCCTGATGAAGAATACCGCCCTCTTTGATTGTGACTCAAGAGTTGTCCAACCAAATTCCACCCACATTCCTTGTTGTTTAGTGGTTGGTGATTTGGGTAAACCATGGGTGGAAAGGGACATTTGGTAAGGGCCAACACAGAAGATGGGCTCCGTCTGCAAATGTCGAGCAAGTCACGAATTACTACAACAGATCTGGCAGAAGTGGGGACAAAAAGGTTCACCGAAAAAGTTCCATGATTGTTGGAGGGAGGATGTGGTGTCTGGGCAAATTACAATGATTCCCAAACAAATAAAAGATCTTTGTAAATTGTCCAGAAGTGACCCCTTGTGGCGTAGCCCTGGGGGGAGGGGGGGTTGTTGGAAGGTTGCAAAGGATGGGAGGAAGGGTCTTGCTCTAAGGGTCATGACCGCGAGATCAAACCCGTATCGAGCCCTCTGGATTTCGCCTGGTTCTTAGGAAGTTGTCATCGGACTTGAGCAGTCTCTTGAGCAGTCTGCGCAGCTTGCTAGAATTGGCAAGCTTAAAATCAGGCTGACTGAGATACTCCCCGGTACACACTCAAATAATCAAATATCAACGAGCTATTCCACAATCAAACCGTGTCTTGCAAACGTTGCATTCAGTTATATTTCAATGAGAACTGGCCAGTCCTATATATTTGCTTTAAACATCTAATAAACAAACAAACACTTGTTTTTTTGTTCGGAGATTGTTTTGGGTCCGGTACCCACCCTTTGTGGCTTCCTTCTCTGAAACATCTGCCGGAAACGACCCAGCCCGATCGCAGGTCCTGTAGCTCCTTCTGCAGTGCCTCTTCCAAGTCCTGCGCGAGATTTGTCCAAGGCGGTCCATCCGGGTTGGCTGGTTGGGCCTTGGGTCCATCACTTGTAACATGTCTGAACCATTGTGTTTTGGTCTTCTTCTTTTTTAACGACCTCCTGGTTCTCTGAAGGAACCATAGACGATTTTTGAACAACTCTGACAAGGCACATCAGCTTCCAACAGTGGAATCAGAATCTGTCTTCAAAGGCGCTCACTCACGTGCAGCCGCGCCTCCACATCCTCCATGACATGGGTGTGTCTCTTTTTGGGGACCCCGCTTTTGGTTGGTTTTCAAGGGAAGCAAAAGGGAAACCGTTTTGGGGACTCCGAATTTCGAGACAAGCCCTCTGGAGAATGACCGCGAGCCCCACGCATGCCACTTGATGAATCATGGGTTGGTGCTGTTGCTGGACAAACATGGCTGGATTTTTCAGCGTGCTTCCCCCCCCCCCCAGCCACGTGGAAAGCAGATTCACAGTGACCCTATTTGGGGTTGGGGAACCCATCTTAATTTTGGGACGACGCTTTGTAGTTTTCTTGGATGCCCCTTTTGCCGTGGTCTTCTGGGGCATCCGCCAAACAAACAGGGGTAACGAGTGCAACGCTGAATAACCGGGATATGCGTTGACAACTGACTTCCGCCCTGAACGCAACCTACCACTTATGGCAGAACAAGAAACAACAACAACCTGGCGAAAAAGCTCACCTGTGCGGCCAGTGGCACAACTTCTGACCCTTGCAAACCTGGGTGTGACTTTTCTAGGTTTAAAGGGAAACCAAAAGAACCATCTTGGGGGTCACCCGATTTAACACACACCTTAAAACTGGTCAAGCTTTGAGCCCAAGTCGGCGGGCGGCGTCACCCCGACAGGCATGGCACTACGCATCTGTAAGCAATGCGGGGGGTGGGGTTGGGGCCTTCAGGGGTGTCGCGGGGCGAGGTGAAAGCATTACGTCTCTAAGAGCCGAGGCTTGCAACTGACAGTTTCAGCAAATCAGCAAGAAGCTTCTGTGCTCTTTACAATTCGTCGGAAGGTTTAGAAATTCAATCTGTGATGATATAGGTAAATTAGTAGCTTATGTATTGCTTGTCTGCACAGATCCAAGGGGGTCCTTTCCGATGATGGATATTTCTGGTCCACCATGTTGCGTGCCCAACGCCCAAGCGAGGGCCTTTAATGCGGATCCTTCATGGAGGCAACCGAGCATCAGGGTGATTTCCCCATGCAAGCGAACATTTTGCAATCTTGTACCGGTGAGAGTCTACCAGGGCTGTGTGGTTGGATGTGATATTGGTTTGTAAGCAGCATGACCCCCTGGTTGGATTGTGTTGTTTGAAGGGAAAACCAAGACGCACCCATATGTTGAGGTGTCTCATCTCATTAGAACAATCGACTAGTTTCGGACTTGCCACAATTGCAACACATTGATCAAACTCCTGGTCAAGTTTCCATCAAACAGACTGATGGCAACAAATAGTTCTTTGCAATGCAACGTGTGAAGGTCAATCGATTCCCTGCTCGGCCCCCAAGCAGTAGCATCTCGAATCAGACAATGGAATCACATCAGATCTACGACCTTCTGCCCGTTGGCAAAGGACTTGCTACGCGACCACTGAGGTACCCGGTGAAATGCCCGAGCACAACTCATCTTGAGCTTTGCCACTTGTACAAACAATTGCCGCTTTCCTGCCGGCCAAGGCCAACATCATTGAAACTGTGGCCCATGTTCAGCCAAAGAACGGTTGCCTTCTTAAGTGAAGTGGCAAATCTCCCTGAAGAGCAACGAAAAAAAGAGCGACCTGCTATGAGGTAAGCGCTGATTGAGCTCGCATGGCTTGCCTTTTGTCACATGGGCACCTTCGCGTGCGATTGCCTTGGAAACCGAAAGCTAGAAAGCCTGGCCATGCTGAGGGATCTTCTTGGTGTGAGCCCAGCGTGCAGTTGATGCACCAGGTCCAGCCCAGCGCCGTCACAGTTGCTTCCTGACTGGCATTGTCTGGGCGATCGAAGCTGACGGAGGCCACTGGAGACGACAAAGCGCCAAGGAAGAACACATAGCCCCAGGTAGGGGGGGCAGCCGAATGGGGCCGAGGCGTCCCTGCACCTCCCTCGTGGCTGAACTAACTGGTGAGGTGCCCATCTTCAGGCAATGTTTGCTTGGCACCTTGCCGGACTTGTTGCGCACAAAGAGCCGGGACATGGGGATTCCGAGGAGCACAGCTGGAATGTCTCCAATGGGGCGAAGGCGCACGCGTAGCCCTGAGGCCAGGAGCCATTGCCAAGATTGGTGGACACGAAAGACAACTCGGGCAAGTTCTGCACGAGGTTCGTCCCAAACGATACCATGACGATGAATAACAAGAGCAGGGAGCAAATACATCTCGGACCATCGCAAGTGCCCATCATCAGATCCCTAGGCCCCGCTACTCTTCCGAGAACGACTGCTTTTCACATGTACCAGTCACTGCAATTCCCTCATGCAACCGGAGGTTGTGGCCTTTGGGCCCGCCAGAGATTCAGCCCTTGGGGTACATCACGTCTGTCCTCATGACCTGAGCAATGCGAATCGCAGGATTGGAGACTGTGCGAATCCCTGGGCTTATGATGATTATGCTGTTTCTGCCAGCAAGCTTTACAGTTTGCCTGATCACGGAATGCAGCATGAAGCCCCTTTCAAAGAGATAATGCGGCTCATCCAGGGCCTGCGTATATGGGATGCCATGTGAGTAGTTGGGAGGGCGTGGTCCGTAATGCATGCTACAACCATAGAACCAAACGCGCTGTCTCACGGTCACATACGGTCACCATCCTCCATACTGGGCTGTCCTCAGATCCCCTGCTAAAGGTGGTACTGTTAGTGGGTTGAATGGACGCCCCCACTACACCACCCTAAAAACCTAAAACCTAAGGGGATGGCTGGGTAAGCCTCAAAGGGCAATAGTTGGACCATGTTGGACATGCTGCCAACGGGCTCCCTATAACTCAAAGGAAGCTCACTGAAATGGGGCCAAAAAAAGGTTGTTCAAATCAATCAAGGGACACAAAGGGGGAGAACTGATCAAATTACAATATCCCAAACTGGAAATAAATGCCTAGCATTGACAAATACATGTCTTCATCCTCGAAGGCCGGAATTAGTGGATTTCTGCTCGTTATGATTTGCCCTTCCTGGGGTTTAATTCACAGGGGGTTCATCTTGGGCTTGGGTTGAATCACCATATGAGTGGTTCTCAAGAGTGGAGACCTCTCCAGGTAGTTCGTTCGTTTCCACTTCCCAAAGCCATGAAAAAGGAATCCTTATTTTGAGAAACTCCCATAGGAATTCCCGGACCCAACCCAGTGGCTGTACTTGAACTCACCTTCCTAGTGATTTGGATTGATGCTTTGGGCTTGATCCCAGGCGCAAACTTCTCCTTGCCCAACGGCTCGGTGCCCGCATGCAGCAGCGTCTGCTTGAAGATCAGCAGGTCCCCGCGAGAGCACACCGCGTCCAAACACAAGTCGCAGGACCAGTCGCAGCGCCCCGTTTGCGCCACCTGGCCGAATGCTGACCGGGCAAAAGGAACAAGATGTTTGACATCGTTCATCCAAAAAGTCTCTTTGAGCCATTTTTTTCCTTGTGTGTGTGTGAGGGTCTTCCTCGGTTTGTCCATTTTATGTTTAGCTCGTTTAGGGCGGTTTGCGGTGATGGCTGAATCCAGAAGAACAAGCAACGCATTTGCGGCTGCGTAAGAAACCAATTGGATTGTGCAGTCAGCTGCTTCCCTTGCCAAGGGTGACTGTACAACATTGGCGCTGCATGACCACTGAGGGCGGCTGTTATACAGATTTGTCTTGGGGTAGTTCCGCTTTCCCTGGGAGTTTACCGCTCTTCATGTTCAGCTTGTCCTGTGCATCGCTGCCAGTGGTGTTGGCTCTTTGCTTACGCGAAAGACTTCGGCCGCGCCAACGCTTCGCCAAGCTGGGCAGTTGTGGGCATATCACTCTGAGCCCAAAGGGAAACCAAAACAGAAGTGGCAAATCTTGGGCGACCCGCCGTCGAGTGAGTGCGTTCACGTGTCGCGTGCCCATCTGCATGCTCTAGCGAAACAAACTAGCAGGAGGAGGAGGTTTCCTTCGAGTGCTAACTTGTTCGGCTCGCACAACGGACCTACAAAGAACTTTGCGCCAACATCAAGCAAAATAGTGGTGCTCCTTTGTTAGACATCTGGCATGCGCCGGGAAACGCATGGGTGCTCAAGCACCTATAGACACCTCACACGAAAATGAAACAAGCGTCAAAGTGCCGTGACGCCGTTGAATGCATCCTGCGCTGTCAATGTGACTCTTAAATGTCGTAGACATAAAAGCAAGCACCTCTAGTTCCCCAGAGCACAGCCAAGGAATTTCCCACAGCTACCACCCAATCCGAGCAGCGCTCTGATGGTTTTTCGAATGCCTTGATCCTTCGTGCCGTTGCTGATTCGCAATACCAACTCAACTTCCATGCATGCCGCTTGGCTGGTGGGGAGGAAAAACCAGGTAGCATGAGGCTCTGTTTATTCCGGTTCAACTTGAAAGTTGCCCCTCCAACAAAAGACACGCCGCTGGTTGATTTAAAAGGGAACCAATCCACAAAAAGAACACAAATGGTCGGCTTCCCTAGCAGCCCCTACATAAAAAAGTTAAATAAAATAAAAACATAATAAAAAAGAAGAAGAAACAAAACTTGCTTTGCTTGGTTGGAACGCTGACGCCTACAAAAGAACGCACATGTTGCCAGCTACCTGGACCAGCCTTCCCCTCCAACAAGATGTGTTCAATCCTGGTCACTTTCAAGAAACCCGCTCCAAGACAAAAGGGCTGACCCCCCCCTGGCCATCTCAGTTGTAATGAAACTTGCCAAAATGGTCTACCCAAAGCCATATAAAGCCATGCCAAAAAGGAAAGGGCTTCTTACCGCACCTATTTATGGTGACCATCCCGGACCTTTATCTACAAGACTCGGTTTCGACGTCTCATCCGGCCGTTTCGCCGTTTCGTGTGGCCTGGGGGCACTGGGGCGCCAGGAACCGCGTGGTGCCGCCTTTTGGGCCGCTCTCCGCCTCTGAGAGGTACAGAAGCGCCGAGTACACCGAGAAACCCAGCGCCGTGCGGTTCTCCCCGTCTTGGTGCGGTGCGAAGAAGTGGCCCTGCAGTTCCGGATGAACTTTCGGGGAAATCGAAGGCTAGGTGTCAACATGTGGACCCCCTCATAATTTTGCGGGCTCCCGTTGGGGTCCCTTTTAAACCACCACAAAAAGGTCCATTTAAAAAATGTTCCTCTAAAAACAGGTAGTACTTTCATAGGCTTGACTGATGAACGAATCCTCCAGATTTTAGAAGGGGGCCTTCTTCTGGAAGACAGACATCATCCCCAGTCAGGGAGCCCCCATAGAATAAGTGGGTAAGCTACCATAGTAGGTAAGCAGGTCATCAGCTATTGCTGCTAGCTTTCAGACCATAGTGTCGCCTGGTTGCCTATCATGGCTCTGGAAGAAATGGGAAACCCACCCACTTCATAGGAATCCCTGGAATTTCAAGGGGGGCTTGCCCATGACGATTTCCCGTTCAAAGCAGAAAACCAGCTGCCCACTCCCGGGTCTTCCCTTTCGGGTGGAGAGCCCAAGTGCCTTGCCATAGCGCAGGAACCGCAGGTGCTCGTTCAAGCCGGCAGCTTTGCGGTTCTCCAGGCCGGGCATCAGGTGTGATACCCGGCGCCAAAGCTTCTCCGCGAGGATGGGGTCCCGAAACTGGCTGATGAGGTGGCCTGAAACTGGCAGCTGACTGGGGCGCAACTAGCAATCAAACCCATCAGCAGTGGGTCTGTTTGTTTTTTAAGCAACTGGGCTGGTCTGCAAAGGGGATGTCGTGAATGTGAACACCAATCTAGCACCAATCTCTCTCTCTCTCTCGGGCTCATCCATGGTCCAGCTCCCGGCGAGAGAAAAGGATGTGAAGAAGCGTGTACGTAAGAGATAGACCTCTTCCTTTCCTTTCTTCTCATGCATTTCCTGCAAATACTAGGAAATGCAAATGAGATTATGAAAGGTAAGAAGAAGAGGTAAAGAGATAGAAAGAGAGGCATGGCATGATCAAGCTTGTGAATGAAATGGTGCTTGGATGCCATGTCCTTCCTCATTCCATCTTCTCCTTCCTACCTACATCCTATCCCTTCCCCACCTATCCACTGTTGATGATTGATAGGCTTGGAAGTGGATAGGTGAGGGTTCGGGAAGGAGGTAGTGTGTGAGGAAGAGGACCTCATGAAGAGATGGGAAGCCTCGCGAATGAAGGAAGATAAGGCATATCCCATCCTATCATCTGGTGCTTCCTTCATCACTATCTCCGCATCTTTTTGTCTGGCGGATTTTCCCCGAGTCAAAGCCCCTTCCGACTTCCTCTATCTCCAGAAGGTAGGAAGGAAAGGACACAGCGAATAGAGGAGGATGAAGGGCGAACTCACACCCAAAGGCCCTTCCATCCCTCTATTCTCTTCCCATCCCCTCCACCTTCTCCCGTTCTCTCATTCTGGATCCGGAGTAACGGCAGGAGCTAGGCGGAGGAAGAGACAGGATGGAAAGGGATGGAAGCCTCGGGAATCTCCTGTTCATCTCTTACAAGCGAAAGGCTCAATCACCACACACGCTACTCTCCTCTGATCCAATAGCACCCCCCCTTCTGAATTCTCAGGCCCTTACGCCTTACACCCCGTGCTTGCAAAGTTGTCCCGCTTCAGTGACTCAATCCCGCGGTCTTTGCTCGCTCGCTTCCTCACTTGCCCACCCCACCACCCATGTATTCAGGTATTGTTTGAGTGATGCTCGTGCAGTATGGCACATTCTTGCGTTTGCCCTCTTCCCTTGCTTCGATCAAGCTGCGGTCAAAGAGCTCTGGAGAAGAGCAACACAACTTGTTGCCAACAACATTTCTTTGGCTAAGCTTACCCTGCCTTCCCATCAATACATGCGAGCCGGCCAAGTGGCCGTTGGCCGACTTCCAATCGGTACGCGACCTCGGAATGGATGGCTGGCCAAGGATGCACCGAACAGCCATCAGCATTGGGCGAGACCCTTGAGGTGGAGCTTTGACCAGTCCACTCTGGGTTGTCTTTTGGGTCCATTGGCATCTTATGCATTTCAGCGAGGCGAATGAAACTGAAAGGCTGCCAAACAACTTCTGCATGCCACTAGCCCTACAAATCTCAAGCTTTGAAACAGAAGGGGCCTGAAATGAACCGCCTGCGAAGACAACGTGAATAGCTTGCCAGTTGACAAAGTACACAACGGCGAATATTCTGTTGTTTTTCCCCCTCTTAGTGGTCCAACTAGCCCAGCTCGTTGTCGCAGCCCTCGCATTGGCGCAGCTGCAATTCAGGCTGTATCCTTCGATCTGCGCTTCTCAAGGCTCCTGCCAGTTCTCGAAGGGTGACTTTCTTGCCATCTGCGAGCAGCTTCGGCTATCATGCCTTCCGCAAACGCTTTCTGATATCTGTTGGAACTTGCGTCAATAAGGATCCAACCCACCCCGTTCCCAACTTGGGCAAACCAACCACGTGAGACAACGGCCTTCCTTGATTTTAGACATTCACGGTTTGCTTTGCACCCTTGCTGAATTGGATTGTGAAGTGTTAAGGTACCACCCACCCCCCCTCCCCCAGGAAAGATAAACAGATTCCCTCAAACAAAAAAGGCAAACCACTCCCGCCGCCGCCCGCCCATCGAAAGACAACAGCAGGGCCAAGCCAAGTGGCTCCCCCCAACTGCGCAACCTCGCAGCGAGGCGCGCGGCGCTCTGGTCACGCGGCCAGGGGGGGGGGACTCTTCGGTTTCGTTGTGGTTTCAATGTTTCCCTTTGTTTGCCTCTGAATAGGTTTGTTTTTCCCCCCGATCTCACAATATGATTTCCAAGATCCAGCCTGGGGCTCTGGGTGTCCATCCCAAATTTGTTCCATGCCTAGGTTCACCTACACTCTTTTCAAGCATCAACTAGTTGTTCTTGGATGGGCTACCCCTTTCAAACCAAGGCCTGGATGGTGAAGTGGTTGGATGATTTCCAACAATTGGGTGTTTCAAAAATAGGAGACCCCAGCCCTTCTTAAACGGTTTTCAAGGGACAGCGAAGGCAACTTCAGCATAAGTAGGGGGACTCCTGGTCTAGGAACTGGAGGCAAATAAGTTCTTTATACCGGTGAAAATACAGACTACGTATGAAGACTTGCCAATTTCATCACCTGGGGTGCATAGCTTAGCCCCTGGAGACTTTTACTTGGATCAAACAACATGTGCAGCGAATCACCAAAAATATGCGGCAAACAGGCGTTTGCAGCAGCGTCTCACACTGCTTTCCAAAGTGGCCCACAACGGGCGGTCCAAAGCCGCCCCACAATCCACCCCACAAGAGTGATTTCGTTTGAGTTGGTAGCCCTTCTCCTACGGTCTTAAAGGAAAATCAGAGAATCACCCATTTGGGGATTCCCCCAGGTCGACACAGTACATGTGCCGTGGTCAAATGGTGCAATTTGGCTGTGTGGGTCATAGTCAAGTCACAGTTGTGAATAGCTGAGCTCTCACTTTGCTTGGCTCCCCTTGTCAAGGATCCATTCGCTTGCAATCCCCAAAGGTGTGTTGTAGCCATGGCACTAGTTAGAATTTGTCGACCTCCGATTGTTCCGCTTCCCGCGCGAAAACAAGGGCCCACGTCCCAAGCTTGCTCTGTAGGCCTGTTCCGAGAAGAGTGTGTGGATTCTAAGAGGGCAGATGAGAACACATGCTCCGTTGTATGGCAAGCGGACCAAGATTCCACCGAATCGCCGCCTGCACAAATGTTTGGAACCAGAAAATTGCCGAGAAAGGTACACAGCTTGAGTTTAGCCTCCTCCCTTCGCCTACTGTACAAAAACAACAAAACAAATATTATCTGATTCTTCATATTTCGTGTACCCAAAAGTATAAGAACCTCTCAGAGAATCCCCATGCCAAGCTGCTTGGCCACCTCCTCCACACTCAGCACGTTCCGCAGCACTACCACCTATCAGATTCGAGAAGCATTTGACCAAAAAAAGACTTCTGGATATCTATGTCCATGCGGCATAGACTATGCCGGCCGAAAAGGGCCCCTTCAGTTTTGAGATGGAATTCCTTTGACTTCCATTTAGACTAAAACTACCCCCTTTGGCACCCTCAGAAACCACCCCCGCCTCCTCCTTCCCCGCCCACGGCAGGCGCAGCGGCGCCAGTTTCGGCGCCTCCGCGGCCGCATCGCCGAGGCTCGGCAGCGGCGCCGCGTGGGAGCTGCGGCCCAGCGGCTGCTCGATGTCCTGCAACCAGGGGACCTCCCAGCAAGGGTGAGGCTGGTAAAACAAATGCAAGGTGATATAATATGTACATGCATGTTGAGGTATATATTTTTTTTAATATACCTGGGCACTCCGGGTGTGCAAAATTTCCGCCGTTTGGCGAGAAAATAATAATTTCCGCTGTTTCGTTCAAAAAGCGCACTGCTCTTTTTCAAGATTGCCGCGAAGCGTGTCAGAAAA